ATGAGCTTTTTGACAGACGTCTGAGTCAAAATTTACTTAGACCACACTCAAATCCATATCGTATTGTCGTATAGTCTCAATTATCGGCACTTGTGCGTGGACCAGTCATAACAATATGACAAAATACAGTGCAGTTTTGTTTTATTTTGCTCTGTTTTTGTTGTCGACTAAAATCAATGAGAGAGAGAGAGACCAAGAGACCAGATCATATGAACCATATGTTTTTCATCAGCAAAAATGCGAGAGAGAGAGAAAGATTGCTTGTTGGGTGCTTATCGTTAATCGTTCGCATAAAGTACGGCCATCCGAATTTGATTAGCAATGAAACAAAGGACATTGTCAAGAAAACGCCCGTAATCGAATTGCATTTGTGTTGACACGGCAATATTGATATCCATTCCGTTCGCAACAACAACAACAACAACAAACAAACTATACACGTCGTTTCATTCACATCACAAGAGCACAACCTCATATGTTTCGTTCATTCAACTGACATGTGTGCAATAAAATGATAAACCGTAGTTCAATACAGTTGCCGGCATACATATCCACACAAAAAAAACTACCATCGTCGCATTTGTTGTTGTTGTCCATTTGCGGGGAAAGCGTCGAGCCTTTTGTCTCTCATTGCAAATTGCCATCGAAATTGGATTTACGGTGGAAATTTATGATCGAATTGCAGTAATTTTCTGTAAGCAACTGTATTTTATTACCCAGATATTGAATGCCTCGGGAAAAAGTGCCATTAAGCCAGGCACAATGGGAGAATGCTCCATCGTATATACACACCATTCAATCACTTTCATTCGAACGCATGCATATTCAATGTAGAAGGAGCCCGATCCAACCAACCAAACATACGTAAACACATTTTATAGTTGCCATAATCATTTCATGAGCATCAGAACCGAAATTGAATAAGATTGATTTAATGCTCGGTTGATTCGCATGTGTCAATCCATGGGAAAATTGATTATAAATTTATTGGGCAAATGTTGATGTTGTTTTTTTCGTCGGGATGGTATAACATGCGGTATTATTGATCCGCTGTGCTAACAATAAATATGCATTAAATCATGGCATTTGTTTTTCGGTATTTTTGTGTTGGTTTTTTTTGCTTTCTGCCAATGTCAATACAGAAGAACACAGAACCACACATAAACACCGCAACTAATCGAATTAGAAGTTTGAATATGGGTTCGTTTGTGTCCATTCCTCATTTCTAATGCGCTGTGCGCAAATACGAATCCATTTTCATTTAATCAAAGTCTCATTTGTTTCGGGTTAACAAAACACTAGTTGTTTTCTCTCTTTTGGCGAAGAAAAAGCTTTATAGTATGCTTTGTTTGCTCGAGATGGGATGCGCTTCCTCTCGAAAACAAATGTATTTAACGAAGGAACGTGTGAATTTAACGATCAAATTCGATCGGATTTAAAAATGGAAACCGACAAGAAAGAATTAAGTGCACTGGATTAGTTCATGAACGAATTAAATCGCAATGTGATTCCGTTTTGAATCGATGGAAAATCAACAGCAAGAAAAATTCGTGTTGAGAAACAATTGAAGGATGTGTATGTGTGCAGTTGGGAATGGATTTGGCTGGAGGCGATTTGCAAGCATAATCCATTGCAAGCAATTTTTCTCCGCCGATACATTTGATCAACACTGAAAAGGCAACGATGGATAAATGAATTATTTTGTACTCGGCTTTGCACTGATCCTCACCCACACCGAAAAAAAATACCATTCGAAATGTATGTTGCTCGCATTTACGAGTTAAGACAATCGGTTTCTCTTCATTACCGAGCGCAAAATATGAAGTCAGTTTTCTTCTCGTTGACTTTTGCAACATTGACATTTTTATTTTCGCTCGTAATGTGTATTTATTCATTAAATGTTTGGTACTACTTATGGAACAAATTGTTAACATTTTTCTCGGGGGATTTTCCGGTGGAATGTATGCGCGTATGTGTTTTCCGTTGGCATTCCCAATTGGATACATGACAGTACATTTCTCATCGTTTCGTGCACGAGCAACGATGATGACGACAAAAATAAGTACACATGTACAAGGTTTAAGTCATAACAAATGAAAAGATATCATATTCCGAGGGAGAAAAGGCCAAAGATGTGTAACTTTTGATAGAAATATGTATAAATAATCGGTTTCGGAAAAGAAAAAAGCCCAAAGCTGCGATAAGTCTTCATTGAATTGTGCTTGAGTTTGTAGCTCATTCGCTGTGCCACATCGATGCCATGAATTGTTGTCGCGTTACCGAAATTTCAGCACAACTTAAATTATTAGACGACATTAGAGCTATTTACCAACACTTTGATAAACGATTGTTCATCCATTTGCAAAATTCTCTCTCTTTATCCGTCTACTCGAAGTTTCTCTCTGTGTGTCTCTATTAATATTCATGTTATCGGAACTCGAGCTGATGCACACAAAATGATTTATTATCTGTGGAAGATTTTACCATAACATGATATGCACAATTTACTCATTGTTTTGTGTAAAAAGCGTTTTATATTAACTCGATTGGATTGGATTGGATTGAGGTGGATTTGTGTGCATCGGTTCACGTTCGTCATCCCCGTGTACAGGTGCTACGTCACATCGGACCAACTCACATTAAATAATAATTGTAGGCAAATGAAAAAAAAAAACTATGTAATTTTGTTATTTTCTACCACAACAGAGAAAAAACTATCATAAAAATCTCGTCTAAATGTTTGATCAAATTCATGATGATTGTTGATGAACATCATGTGAAAAGGAATGTTTTAACTAACGGAATATCGGGTAATAGGTGTAAATTGTTTATTAAATAAATGAATTTCAAATAAAAGAAAAAAATGTTTATTATATATTGAATCAATTATTACCGTAGGCTTAGGGAATTTATAATCAAATATTTCGCTGTCACTCTCTTTTTCTGCAGTCATCAAAATACATTGTGGTCATACACTCAATATACACATGTACCCTCAATGAATAAAGAGAGAAAACAAATGAACGAACTCGCCATCTTAAAACTTGAGCTATGAAAACACACATATTTAAACTAGCACGAATACACATCTCTTCCAAGTTGGAACTTCCGACTTAAGCTAGGATCTGTGTACCGAATCTCTCTCACTATCATTTACTCTCTACAACCAAATCATTATATACTTCACATTTCGAAACTGTGTTTCGTGTCTTTTGTGTAAATCAATGAGATTCAAGGAAAAAAGAACAGTTGTTATTTATTCAATTCCAAAACAAAAAACAAACAATTAACTAATGTTTAATAAATTGTTTCTCGTGTGTAAAAGAAGAAATCAAAAATTAATTCGAGTTCAAAATGTTTGTTTCAAAATATACGACAATTGATCAGAGCAGAGCTATAAAAAAAAATATAGTCGAGACACGGAAAAAATGAATCGATGGACAAAAACTCGTCAAAATGTATAAATGTTATTTCAAATTCTCTCGAAGCAAATGTATTTATGCAAATGTTTGTAAAATTCCTAATTTGTAAGACCAAAAAAAAAACAACCAAAAAGGATTTCATTTAATGAAAAATTCCAATAAATCGGATGATGAAACAAAAAACAACCGAAATCATATTAAATCACGATGTTTTCATACATTTTTCTGTTAATTTTTTGTCTGAATGATCATCGCTTGCAGAAAAAACAGCTTCAAAACCAATTTTGTTGGCTTTGTCGAATTGTTGGCGAATGTTTTTCTACCTCTTCATTTACAACGTAGTTCATTAAGTAGAAGTTAAGCTCTTTTTCCATCAACTTTATTAGATCCACTGCAAATGCTTCCATTTCTTCTTCCGTTTATTCATTGTCGTGCGCGTATGTACGGCGTAAACTCATCGATTGAGTGGTTGGTATTTTTCATTCGGTAAATTTTGCAACAACAACCAAATTACCGTGTGACTCATATTCTCTCGCTGTCTCTCATCCTATATATGCTTCTGTATTGTTTTGTTTTGGTTTTTGTTTTGTGGTGTCACTTTGGCGTAGGGGAAAAAAGTTTCTTAGTTTCTCATTGAGTCTCTCCATTTTTCCATATATATATTTTTCATTCGATACAATTTTGAAATGCAAATTGGATTTATTGTGGTTGAGTGAGTGGTTTGAATTCGGTCAGCCGACTTTCAACCACTTTTAAATGAGGTCAAATTGCTAACTTTTTATTTTCATTTGAAAACTAAAATAATATAATTTTTTTTCTCGAAAACAGTTTGATTTTGATTTAACTTTTTCACTTTAATAAAAATTAATAATTTGTCACATTTTTTTTTGTTGATCATATGCACAGTTTAATCTCTATTGCACCCGGTTTTCATTTTTGGTTAGACGGAAAATCGATCGCGTGTTCACGGTTCATGAAAACAAAATTATTAATTGCATTTCCAAATTATAGAGATCGGATTTGTTTTTCATCAAACCTACACAATCACTCATCCACACACATACTAAAGACACATTCATTGTGTCAAAATAATTGTGTTGCGGTTCATTTTTAATTCATCGAGATAAAAACAAATCTAGTCGATTGGATTTTATTTTGTTTATCATTCACGGCAATACTACCAATTGGATTTGCAGTTTTGTTTTGTCCATGAACAAAGACAAAAAAAACATTAAAAATTATTTCATCGGCATAAGGCATATGTTTGTGTTTAACATTATCTCACCAAATTCAGAACCAAAAAAAAAAACCAGAACATTTTGTGCACCTGTCGATTTTGAACCACCGTTTCACTCACTCATGATTTGTGTTAAGGAAATTGAATTTATCGAAATCAACAACAACAAAAAAACTCGTTTAATGAAGATAATATACTTTCTTTCTTTTTCCTTTTTCCCTCTCTTTCCATTTCCTGTCGAAAAAATACCAAATTTGACACATTGGCACACACACAACAAAAACAATCGAACAAAATATCCAATCACAATTGTGGCAAACGAAAAAAAAAATCATATACAGGTTGATAGCCGAATAGGAAGCTCAAAAAAACCGATCTCTACCTCTAGTTTTGCTCATCATAAATACGATACATCGATGAAATCATCTACTGACAGTCTTTCATCTGCCGATACGATGATTTCCGCATCGAAAAAACCACCACCACCACGACCTCCTTCGCCATTGCAACCGCCACCGTTGGCACGACAATACGACGAGCTCGATCGCACCGAAATCGAAATTGAGGTTTTTGATACCGAACCATACAAATATGAATCGAAATCGAAACCACAATCAATGTCTTCACAGACGCAAACACATCGTAAGTCGGTGAGCTTTGATTTGTCCGACAATGAGTATATTCCGGTGCTTGAGCACGACGAACCAGAACCAACGGATAACATCGGCGAATTATTTTTGAGACAATTCAGCCGAGAGAATTCACAAGAAGAAAATGACGGTTACGAAGTTCCAATCAAATATCCGAGTGGCCCAAAATCAAAGCCAACGAAAAAGGTGAAAAGTATTCTGCGCTCGCCCAGCCCTAGTTCAAAAGCACCAACGACACCCTCGTCGTTGGATCGACCTTTGATTACAAGCTACATTCAGCAGCCGCAGCCTAGTGTGACAACAGCCATTGTACACACCGTGGCTCCATCGACGGATGATGAAATCGAACGCGAAAATCCGTTCCGCAAAGAATTCTTGGGGCGTCGTGCTGAAAACATCTACGAAGAATTAGACTTTGAAGAACAAGCTCCGAAACAAACAGTACAAATTACACCGATTGAAACAAAAGTGAAAGAACAAGAAAAACCGAAGCAAATTGACCCAAGTTCGGTGAAACAACGACCAAAATCCGCATACGAATCAAGAGAATATGCAGAAGTTCAGTCGAAATTCCATTCATCAAATGATGAGTTGAGTGAAAAGTCAGAAAGTACGCTAATTTCAACGCAAAGCACATCTCGATCGACAGGTAGCCTGTTGATAGATCGTCCAAAACAAAAGCCACCATTACCTCCAAAGCCATCAAAACCCAGTTCTTCCGTGAAATCACCATCTCCGGTCATCAAACGCGCCGATCTCAAACAAAACGAGGCTTTGAAAACATTCCAGCAAGAAATGTTGCATGGGGATTTATACGAATTCGTTCATAATGCGGAAACAAATCAAATAACACGAATTAAACAGCAAGCAACCAGTATTCCTATTGCAATTGCAAAATCACCCGAACCAATTGTTAAAGAAGAAACCAAAGAACCGCCACGTTTGACCACGTTCAATCCAAGCAGTCCTCTCCCTCCAATTCCCAAAAGCAATAAGACCAATGTGCCACCGTATTCAAAAGTTCTGAAGCGAGGTTCAAGTGTTGAACGACCAACGGTGAGTCCTCCGCCGCCACCCGTTAACATGTCAACGTTGCCAACGGCAGACAAACTAAAACAACTTCGAACCGAAGACGGTTCAAGAGTCGAAATCCTATCGACAAGCACCGAAGAGCTGCGAAAATTCCATCGCGAATATCATCACGAAAATGCTCCCGAATACAGTTTGGTCACCGAAGAAACGCATCGCGAAATTCTACTGCAAGAGAATGAGATTCGAAATGCAATGCAACAAGAGCAAATTGTCACCGAGACAGTAACAACGACTAGTCGAATTCCAGTGCGAAAAGCGCCGTTGCCACCAACGGCAAAAACAACAACGATGTCGACAACAACAAACAAACATCATAAAAACCCTTCATTTTCTTCAGATGTCAGTCAAGAACATTCGTCCACAATGCAATCAACATCATCATCATCATCGTCGTCATCTCAAGTATTTCCGGTTACGCAAATTTTGCCCGTGCAATATTCACACTTGCCAACGCCACAGCAGCCCGACTATTTTTTAACATTTCCATCGTCGCCACTACAGCCCAGTTGTAATGTAATGCCAATGCCACAACCGGGCGCATTCAGTACATTCATGGTGAGTGATAATAGCGCACCGCAAACCACAAACATTCCGACAAACATCATGTGTCATCCACAACAGCAACTGCCAATGTATTTACAGCGACAGTATATTTCCGTACCGATATCGACAACAATTCATACCATAAATCAAGCCGAACATAATATGCAAGGTCAAAATTTTATCAATATTCATGCAAATGGTGGTGCTGGTGCACAGGCGCCGGTTCCACCAACACCATCACCATCAAACAATAACTCTGCTCCTATTTTCAATGCTTATCGAAGTAATTACAATCAGCAACAACAGCAGTACCACCAGCAGCAACATTATCATTACCAAACCCAATCGTTATTACCCTGTCAACAAGAAATACACTCATCGTCTCCACAATCTGCTACATTAGACAGTAATCTAAATCGTAACGACAATACTGCCACTACCACCTCCTCCGACGCTGCTGCTGCTGCTGTTGTTGTCGATGCTGATGATAATACTAATCATAGCATTGGCTCATCCTCATTTCCTTCGATGTCTTTCGTTGACTCACAACTCACTCGTAACCGCAATAATGAAAACGACATTCCGGCAGTCTCGTCGACTGTTGTCCGATCCGCACAATCATTAACATCAATTTCCAATACGCCATCAAATTATCACAGCATTTCGAACGAACCAGAACATACCTTTACCACATTCGGAAAGCAAACACAAGTCTAGAAAAACACGAAAGAAATTTATGCTTTAAAAAAGAAAAAAAAAACATTCTTCTGTTCTGTTTCCCTCCCATTTCTGGGCTAAAGTTTTTATTTTTATTATGCTTCTGTAATTTTTTCTCTCTTTTCCTTTCGTTTCGGCTGTTGCACATCCGAGAAAAATTTGGACACTGAAATTTGATTGCTCTTCTCGTCTAAGCTCGCATTTATCTCTTGATGAAAATCGTACACATTTCGCCGAACAACAAATGGACGGAGCTTGCCTTGGTAACGAGTAAAATTGTCGAGTACAGTTTGAGGGTGATAGCCATCTTGTTGCCATCGCACAATGAAAAATAATAATCCATAAAAATCCGACAGAAAAAACTTGAAGGAAAAAATTCGTCGAAGGAAATATTTTTCTTCCCCATAATTCTGTTCCCTGCCAAAGCACATACACACACACTTGGTCACACACAAATCTATGCGTTCGATAGAGTGAACGAGAGACAGCGTCAAAATCAGTTTGTAGCAAATAATAGAAAAAAGAATGGAGTTTAGCGGGAGAAATGAAATGAAATGAAATAGAAGTGGCGAAATGCCACCCAGCTAGTAGAGTGGTACACGAATATAAATGAATAAAAATAAAAGCATTCGAGGAATTAACGATAATTGTATTGGCGTGTGCACGATTGCGTATCACGACCGTCATTCAAAACCAACGACAACCGCAGCGATATTAACGAATCACTGTTCGAAGGCGAATGAGGAGCAATGGCTGGCGGTGTCAAGTTAAACAAAAAAGCAGCAGCAACAACAACAACTAGCGAAACACAATGCGAAAATCGCATTTGACCCAAATCCCATTTAGCCTTTAAAATATACACTCAGCTCCACTGCCCTGGCTGCACCGCACATGTTCACTCACAATGCGCTTTCCTTATGTTTGTGTCACATACACACAACTTGAGCAAATTTGCTAGAGTTACGGAGTGTGTACACACGAATTTTGAAATGCACCATGTTGCATTCAAACTTAATTACATTAGTATTATTTATGCATTTTCTCAGTTTGTTCCAAAAAAAAACACACCCGCCCCATCGACAGATTTCAGTAATTCCAAATTGAAGTTTTACGTCACGGTTCGTTCATTTTACCATTGATTTGGATGTTTATTCGTCGATGCTTGTGTTTTTTGCTTCTTTCGCTTTGGGTACGCTATCGTCTTCTTGGCAAGAAATTCAATATTCTGCAGTAGCAAACGAGATGAAATAAACGTCGTTTGAAACGTGAACGACGACGACGACGACGATTGAAATGCAGAAATTTGGCTAATCAAATTTACGGATAACTCGGTTACAAGCAACAACCAGAACGTTGTTTGGACGCATTTATAAAGCGTACCAAGGCACAAGCGGTTCTCTTTAAATAATTTAGCGAATGAAACAAAAAACTGTTGTGCTATTGAAGTAAAAATCGATTCGTCGTTTCATCTCACTCTCTCTCAGACGGAGTTTTGTATGTGCGGGTGCGCGTCATTACACGCAGTCGGTTTATGAGTTTAACCTGAGTTAAATGGCAGTGAAGAAGAAAAAGAAAAGAACATTGCCGATGCCGGCACCAGGTAAACTCTTACTTCGTTCCTGAACCAATTTAACTTTTATTACAATTGTTAACCGACCCATTGATATTGATTTGCACATTTATTGAACGATGAAAGAAAGTCGACAATCGAAATGAAAAACAAAGAGAAAAAATTGCATCTTATCCATGAAGTGGTTGGTGGTGGTTGTTGCCACAAAGATTTGAATTTATAGCCAGCCACAATTATTTTCGAACGAACAATGAACATACGAGTCCCTTTTTCGCTCACTCTCTCTCTCTCTCTCTTTCTCTCTCTCTCTCTCTCTCTCTCTCTCGTGGCACAACGATTTTTTTCAAGCATATTCCGGTTTCTTTGCACTTTAATAACGAACAATTCATTTTTTCCATCGCTTTGGCACAACATGGCCAAGGGAGAGAGAAAAAAAAGGATGGAAATTTCCGAACAGAAAGAGCTCACTTTGGATTTTATTTGCTTGAAAATCGGTTAGGGTTATACATTTTATGCGCATTGCAAACCAGAAAGCAAAAAAAAAAAAAACACCAACCATCCAAATTCTTAAGAAATGGCTAGAGAGAAAAGGATTCAAATCATTTCCGATGTATCTCAAGTTGAACACAACTTTATATAACGATTTTTTTTGCCATTTCGGAATTTTTTGTTCTGGTTTTTCGTTCTTGTTGTGTCCGCACAAAAAATGAATACAAAAGTTTAATGACTTAACATTTTTCCTTTCGTTTGCTATATTGCTCTTTCGCGTCGGGTGTATTTCTTTCTTCGTCATTGTAGTATTGTTCCTCTTTGACGACTGAATAATAAATCAGTGCTGCTTATTACAATCGCATTGGAAGCATCTGAAACTAGGCGAACGAGAGAACGAACGGAGAAAAAGTTATGATTTTTAATTTTAATTCGAGCAAAATAAGAGATGTGACTCTCTCTCTCTGTGTTTAAAATAATTGGCGTCGCTAATTGAAAGAAATGCCAAAGAAACTGTGTGCTTCATTTCATGATATTACACCCTTTGCGTTCGCCGTTTTTTAACGACTCTCCACAACAATAAAACCGACTTTTCTTCTTCACCATCTTAATTTGGATTGATTTCTGCGTACCAATCACTGGCTTGTTCATTATTCAATGCGGAAAATTCAACGTTAAGTACGTTCAAAATGATCATAGACTGAATGGGATGAAGAAGGAAAAAACCGAAGAATACAAACAACGCAGCAACAAAACCGCTTTTGTTTGTCATGAAATGTAATCACTGGGAATATGCGCTGCAAATGAGATTAGAACGCTGTCTTTTGTGTGTATGTGGTGAAAATGCCGCAGGAGCGAATGAAACCGAGAGTGCGAGAGAGAGCTTTGTTGCGCTGCCTGCGTAAGAAGGGTAAAACAGTTTATTAATTTAGCGCCCTTTTTGTTTATTCAGTGAGCGTTTTATTTGCACGCGCCTCTAAAAGATTATGTATTTATGCGATGCTCGCATTCTCATCCAAATGGCCTACATTTCGTATTTTTTTCTCCTTCCGTCTGAGGTCATGCCGTGGCATTTGATTGCCGCTTTTTTTTTTTGGTTTGAACTTTTCATGCCATGTGTACACGAGGAATCCGGTATCGAATGCAGTAAAAAAAATTCAGAAAAAAAAATTGCAGAAAAGAAAAAAATGCAGAAAACCAAATTTTTTTTTTGAAAATTCCTTGACTTCAATAGATTTGAGCGAAATTTCATTTCAATATGGCCCTTCTATACTGAGAAAATACATGCACCAAGAATTTTGTTGCATGCTTTTTTGTTGCCTTTCTCCGGTTTTTCTTCGTTGTTTGTTTTCTTATTTGTATGGAATTCTGAGCCATTCTCATGAATGAGACGACATACGTCAATAACTTTCTCTGTAGAACGATTCGCATGAGAGAGAAGAGAGAGAAAAATGTATGGGAGTTAACGTACCTCTTTTTTCTTCATCAAACCATATAATGAACAAAAAATTCAAACATTTTGGTGGACTTGTGCTATTTGCTAGAAAGTGAAGTGTATGTATTTTCTCAGTATAGAAGAACCATATTGAAATGAAATTTCGTTCAAATTCATTGGAGTTCATAGTCAAAGAATTTTCGAAAAAATCGTATTTTTTCAATTTTTCAGCGTTTTTGGTTTTCTGCATTTTTTCTTTCTGCAATTTTTTTTCTGCGTTTTTTGGTTTCTGCATTCGATTCGGATACCGTACACGAGGTTCTCGTACGCAGTTTTCACTCTTCTAATGACTGTGTGAGGCAGTGTCGAAAAAAAACTCTGTAAGCCACAAGCTTTCTAACCGATGGAAGACACGAGTCGACCGCATTTGAAATGGGATACGAAATGACTTCATCAAAAAGTCGAACAGCGTACGTAGATTCAATCGAGATGCGAACTAATTCTCAAATCCTCTGATACGATTTTTTTATTCGTTGTAATTATTTTTTCATTAATTTTGCTTTTGATACTTTATGCGGCAACATAAGAGCGGTTCCATCGCTCTCGATGTTTGTTTACTCGAATCGATTCCCAGCTCCTTCCATCATTCCGATGCTCGTAGTACGCAACGTTTGTGTGTGCCCAATCTGCCCATCGAATTTCTGTATTTGTGGAAAAGTGAAGGAAAAGAAGCTCATTCGAGCGAGATATCAGTCGGAATTGGAATAAAAGTGGCAACTACACAAGTTGAACATCGAAATGAAATCGGGGACGAAATGCGCTCCGAAAACTCTCTGAAAAGAAAACTGTAATCCAGTCATTAAAACTTTTTAATTACTTTGCACAAGAATTAATTATTTACATACACACATATTATTTGTTTTGAGTGAGGGGAGGACAGAAGCCAGTCAATGTTATTAGAATAAATGCATTTGACAGTGCGTACGCGCGGTGTTCGCCCAACGATCGAACAGCGGAAAGCTCGTTCGACCTTTCCGATGGGTGCAGAAGGTTGACACATCGAAGAAGAAATAAATCCTTGAAGAGAATAAATGATTATGTATTGCGTTCGCACAGTTGGAATTTTGTGACGGCTGTCCATCTCGAGTTGAGAATGGTCGTTGCCCGAGTTGACTCGTTAGTTCGACAAGTCGAGAGAGAGTGTGTGTGTGTGTGTCGTTTTTCAAGCCAACCGTTTCGAAATGAACGACCAAACATAAAATAATAACCCTTTTGAATACTTTATCCTTGAGTAGAGGAGAATCAAACCGAAGCAATTGATGTACAATCAAGCCCGGAAGCTTATTGGCCCAAGGCTAATTCTACTAAAAGTCCTGATTTCATGTTGCCCATTCTTTTTCGCTGTCGTTTTGTGAAGTAGGTCGTTTCAAAGAAAGATCGACTCATGAGAATTTTCAAACGGAATTCCATGCAATTATGGTTCTATTTTTGTGCAACAAACAATAGAAAATTTGCTCGTTTTTCCAAAATGAATTGACGCAGTAAAAATAGTGCTCGAACAGTAGTAAAACACATCGAATTTCACTTGATTAAGACTTATTGCTCCTAATAAATGCAACGGTAGATTGTGACGAATAAGTATCTTGAATGCATTAGTGGTAGAAAAAAACAACGGGCAATGCGATGCTAAATGCACGTGCAAATGAGAGAAAAACCAACCAACATTACGACCCTCAGCCATTCCATTTCATTCAATTGATTCATATTTTCCAAATTCACTTGAGAATGCACACGCTTTACGCTCACTCAGTCTCTATCAATCTCCCTGTCTTGTTCCGCTGTCGTGTTGTTCACACACCGACAACGACACACACACAGATTTGCATACTTTTCCACAGGCATCGAACAGTAAATTTACCGAACAAATTTATTCGCAAAACTAAGTTGAAACTTTTAACGCCCGGAAAACCATTTACAAATAAGTACCGACAATACTTCCTCTTCACTCATTCCAATAAACTTTATCTCTACTCTCATTCTCTTCTTTTCTCTCTCACTTTATCTTTCGTATGTTTTTCTTTCTATCTATCTCTATCCCTGTATTTTCCACAATAGTTTCCATTTGTTAGATTTCACGTCGGTTGCAAAGTGCTGCACACACTGCACAGACAACAACGTTGCCGCATCGAACGAATGAGAATGAGTCATGACTTTGCACTCTATTTTTCGGCTATAATTAAATTTCTAAATTTGCCATATTGTACATTGTGCTGCAATTATTATTAATTTGGCCATTTTTTTTGGTTTAAATATTTCCACGCCTGAGTTTTATCGTAACATATCTTTTTTTCATATTCTGTTCTATATTTGAAAGTGACGAATAGTTTTCCTCATTTACGTTTAAAAGCTCTTCTTTCTCTAATTTTAACCAAAGTTTTTTTTTTAGCAAAAATGTTGCACAGTTAAAAGGTGAAATAAATACCATCGCAAAACTTTTCATTTTTCACACTCAATGCCCTTTATTTTATTTTCGGTATAATACGTTTTTAAAAGGCGTATAATTGGCTACGAAGTGTCTTTTTATATATATATATATATATTTTAAAATGCTTTCTGCTTTATTGTCTGTGCAAAATATCTTTTCTATGAATTGTAAGTATTGGTTATGTTGCTAAGTCGAGTATACGTTATGTAGCTCCTTCGGCTCGATTAAAATGAAAGAAATGTTTTCGGTGTTTCTGTTTCATTTTGAATCGATAACAAATTATAATATTATTTATGCTACAAACTCCTATGCTTGTGGCACTTGCGGATGGCGCGGCTGAAAAGTGCCTATCTCAAGCAAAAATTCACACTGAATCGACGTTGCATTAACGCATGTCTGACACTGTTCCCACACGGTTTTGAACGTCAAACCGTGTGGATATAGTATAGTAGAGTGTGAAGTCGTTTGACATCATTTTTGATGTCAAATAACCGTGCGGATGCAGTTTATGTTGTATTGAACAGTGTGGAAGTCCGCCACATTGTTTTAAATTTAAAACCATTTCGTCGAAGTGTATGACCGTTGCGTTATCATGGCGAATTTTGAAACCATTTTTGGTGTCGACTCTTGATATCCGAACAAACTTACACTGCATCCACACGGTTATTTGAAATCAAAAATTATGTCAAACGGCTTCACACTCTATTATACTATAGCCACACGGTTTGACGTTCAAAACCGTGTGAGAACAGTGTCAGACATGCGTTAACGCACCGTCAATTCAGTGTGAATTTTTGCTTTGGTATGAAAATTGAATTTTACAATACGAGAAATTAACCGAAGAATAAAAAAAAAACATTCAAGTTGAATGATTCATTGGGTTGAATCAACCACCACCATACCGTCTATCTATCTATTGTTGTAATAATATTTTCGCTCAAAAATGTTCATGTTTAATTTTTGTTTATGTTTTTTCTCTCTTCTTTGTTTTTGTTTCATATGCTTGTCTTGTGCGCTATCAAAATCGTTCTGTTTCTGTGTATTTTTCTTGTTCGATTTTTATTGCGAACTTGTGTGTATTGCGTCTGCAGTCTCCGCCCGCTTCAGCTAAAGTACCAAAATCGGTGTCGGACCGAAAGCGATTCTTTGAAAATGCAATGGAAGACCACAACAAGCCAGCGCCGAAATCAGGTAAATCAAACAAAAATTCATAGTTTTAGTATAGTACACGTTTTTTTTTCAATTTCGATTCAAAATTGACGTACGTTGAGACAGTAGAGCCATTTAATTTGGTGTTTCCAAATGAAATTTATACTCATTTGGGTCACATTTAGTAAGTAATTGAATAAAGAGAGAGACAGAGCACAAGTTGCTCGGAATGTACATTTACCAGGGGAATTCCAAACTCAAACGAAAGATTGATAAGATGTGGCAATTTTTGCCAGAACTTTCGATGGCAAGCGCACTTCATTTGTATGTTTGAAACGGAAAAACTTTATTCCAACGATGATGCAGAAGGTGATTTCATTGAAGCGATGAACGAAATTTACATTTTCCAACAATTTACAATTCATCACATTGAAATTAATTACACAGCGAATTGCCTTTTTCACATATTCATCATAGCGAGAAAAAAATTGCATTCAAAACACACTTAAGATACTGAACTTTTTATTCGTTCTCACACTCTACGATCTTCACCAGATGGATTTTGTTTTGTGTTGCGAAAAATGTTTCGCATTTAGTTTGTGCTTCTGAAGGGAAAGTGCTTCGTTTCGAGGATTTCTTTCATTAAATAACAATGATTAACCACTTCATTACGTTGCCGTGTCATATTTCTTCTGTTCTTCGGGTTTTGTTTCTTTTTTCGACGGAGCGCGCGCATTTGTTATTCTCGTTTCACATCCGTTGATCTGAATGCGAAACATGCGCCGTGAAGCACGCATAATTTGGTATGTATTCAATGTTTCGGTTCATAGCGTCCGTGCCATAACGGCGAATATATAATTTTTCCTGCTTGTTCTTCACCGTTGTCATCGTCGTCGACGGCAGCGGCTTTTCATCAACACGAAGTGATGTTAAACGGTATTTTGCATGTGCTCAGCATCATCTCGCCGTGTACCGTTTTTTTATGGAGTGTGTATGTTATGTTGTGTGTTATATTCACGCGCGTATTCATATATTTCGAGTAGCAGCATTCTACGAGGTGACTTTACGACTGCATAGACACCGAATGACAGAGCTTATAAATCAAAAGTTTTGCTGGAATGGCATGCGATATGAAACAGAAGTGTGTGTATGCACGTCGAAAAATGTATATATGTGCACGACGGAAGGAAAGCAACTCAAGTTGAAAGCACGTAAACGAGTTGGATCAGAGTGAAGTAAAAAAAATGAACGCCGCCTGCGACTTTCAGAGTTATTCGAGCGAAAAGAGTCAGCTTCTTTGTTGAGCGGCTGTATCAGTCTTTCTTTCTTTTTTCTTGGCTTTTCGTTTACTGTGCATCATGTGATGTATTTGTAGCTTTTCTCTTGCAATGCGTCGGCATTTTATTCGATTTTCATTGAAAGGAACGAAAACAACAACAACGACGAAAAAAAAGAAAGAAAAATTCAAGATGTGGAAAGAAAACATCAATAAAGCGACGTCGAAAGGCATAAATTCAATTTCATTATTTGATGCGTGTTCAATTGTCTTGAGTGTGGTGGTGGCTGCTGGCAACCAAAAGGAATGCCAATGAACAACAACGTCGCCACACACTCATACCGACTGAGTGAGATTGAGCCACCTCCCATTCGACATTTATTGACACAGTCAAAGAAAGGCCATAAAGCGGAATGCTCGTTATAAATATTTGTTTATGCTAACAATTTTCTGTGGAAATGCGTTTTTTCACGGTGCTGTTGTTGCTTTCAGTCCACACTCCTACACACCGATTCACTGTCTCTCAAGACATTTTATTATTTCGAATATGGTTGAACCGCCATCAAATTAGATGATGCCACAGTATAATTCCGTGAATTATCAGAAAAAATTGAATTTTTTTCTCTCTTTCACCCATAATTTATTTCACTAACTCTCTGTGTCTCTGTCTTCTACTTCAAACAAAGGAATGTCCCAATACATGAGATGAGTATGGCGGAATTGCCGGCGGCTTGATGTTTTTTCTGCACGCAAAACCACTGCATATTGCTATCGTTTCTTTCAAAGCTCTAATCAATTTAATTAGTGATATCTCTTAAATCCCGGCTCTTTTTCTACATTTTAAATGAAACAGCATTTGGATATGTATATACATTTTTCTGCTGTTTTGAAATGAACAACAGCTGAAAACCACGCAAACATTTTGAGTATTTTTTCAAGCAGCCAACACAGGCGGGTATTCAATTTATATTTCAACTGAATTGAAACCATCAGTGAACCATGTAGAACTTCGGGCAAACCTGATTGTTAGACTTTTTTCGCGTTCTCTTCAATAAACTTACAGAAAACGTAATAACAATTCTGCACTTTAAGAAAAATTAAATGGCTCAACGATGGCAAGAAAAAAAAAACCGTATTATTCCGAAAAACGAACGTCACTTGTGAATTGGAAAACGCATAACAATTTATTCATTTCATTTAATTTTGAAAATTTACTTAAATATTTTTTTTCTTCCCATTTTTTCCATTTTGCTTGAATTGTTCGCGTTGCTTGTGTGTGAGCAGAGAAAGTTTTCTCATTTTTATCACAAGATGAAGTTGAAAAACTGAAACAAGAAGAGGAAAAAAAGATCGAGACATTAAAACGTGATAAAAAGAATAAGAAAATCTTGAGAGCGACCGATGAAAATTGTTTTGAGAAAGGCAATGACAATGTCGATGGCACGTCAAGTGACAGCAACGATGATGACGATGACGAGAGTGATGACGATGAAAATGACATCCACGCGGGCGATTCAAGGGACAGCAGGTAATTTTCATTTTTTTTTCTTTCATTTTCTTTGTTTCGTCGCAATTCATTAGTTTTAATTTTCGGTCCCGTTGTTCTGTGCCATTTGGTGTAAATGATCAAACGGATAAGCCCATTAAATTAGTCCATGCGAATTAGAATATTTGCTAAAACCGTCTAACGAATAAACACATGGCAGTGCTAATAAATTCACCAGTGGCAATATATTCATTTCAAACGCAACGATAAATCATTACATCAAATAATGGTTAGGCTTTTACATGTCGCCACACAAACACCCACGCATTCGCATACTCTCTCTCTCTCTCTCTCTCTCTCTCTCTCTACCAAAACAAAAACAAGACCATAAAAACAGCAAAGAAATAATTTTCATATAATAATTATCGTTAATTTGGTCGACGCTCTTTTTCGCATTAGACACAATAAATAACATTTCGTTCGGTCATAAACATTTCAGTAACTGTGTTTAACATAACCAACAATAATCCAATGCTTCATCATTTCTGAGTGAACCACGAAGAAAATCCGCTCAAAATTGGCCAATGCAACGAAAATCTAACTGAAAACAGCTCATGGAAGTTGATCACATATGTTTTAGTACTTGGTTATTCTTTTTCTCTTTTGCTTGGTTCTCTTGGCCACCCCATCCCAATTCAATGTCATTATTAATCACAATCTTTTTTCTTTTTCTATCGCTGTCTCTCTCATTTCATCTGTTTTCCTTGCTCGCCTCGCACTAAGTCTATTCCATTGCGTTTATTTCGAGACGATTAAAGAAGGCTGATTCCAACAGCGTCTCGTTCATTGTTGTTTATTTTCATTGCATTCATTCCATTTTCATTTCGAATTTTATCGTCGGCAATTCTATTTTATTTTCATGTTTTATTTTTGCCCGTTTGGATTGTGTGAACAGAGTGAAAAATGAAATCTTCATGCTCACGACGAATGATGGGCGCGCGAGTGCTCGTTGATTACATTTTCAGCCACAATTATTTTTAATGCTCATTGAGTGCGAAAATGCAAAAAATGCGGTCTAGCTAATAGAAATAATCAAATAAATACACTCCAACAACAGAATGTACATTCGTTTCAATTTTTTTCATTCTTCGTTCGTCGTTCACACTGTGAGTGGTGTCGACATCACAGTAAATTTCATTAAAATCGCGCGCGCGCTCATGAAATACTCATTTTTTTCCCGTTCACCTTCTTTATGGTGATAATTTACTGCGTTGAACAAGTGTTAAATAGCATTCATGATTTATTTATTTATCTTTCTCTCTCTCACCCTCTCTCTCTCTCTCTCTCTGTTGACAACAGACTGTTGTTTTCGTCCTTTTTTCCTTTCACTCTCATTAACATTCTCTTTAGTATAATGTTTCAATTTTTGGAGCTAGCAAACAATACGACACTGTTAAATGTGTACATTTCTCTGGGTGTTTGGAGTTTTTCCACATTAAAAAGTTATTCATTCACCAACGCTAAAATGTGCTGTGAAACTGTTTTTTTTTTTCAAGCTCTTTTCAGACAGGCTATTCTTTTACAGCGAAATTCGTATAGCTCATGAAAAAGTAATTAATGATGCAAACTATTCAGAAACGCATAAAATTCCAAGTGCTCAACTGAATTTCAGCATCAAATTGTTCGTGAAGTTCGATGTGCCTGAAATGAACGAAAATATTTTTGTTGTTTCAATATTGTCGATGGAATGCAGAGTGAGCGACTGGTCCATCAGCATTCCTTACTTACCTTATTTACCTGACATTCATTGCATAAATTGAATTTTCACCCAAAGCATTTTCACTGACTTCGAAATCTCTTCTTCTCCCACTGATTTGCATATAAATTTCAAATAGTTCGATTAAATGGAGCAATTGATTTGGCATCGAGGACAATATTGATTGCATCTAAATTGGCAATGAGCTGCATGCACTTGAACATTTCAAAATGTAAATAAAAGCGTAATTTTTCGATTGAAAACTTCTCTCGACTTTTATGCAAAATCGAAATCAAAACATTGGTTTTGCAGTGCCGCCACAACTCGCACTCTCTCCCTCATTCTCTCACTTTCTTCACGCTCTGTGTTCAGTAAATGTTTGTTATTTTATGTTGAATTTCTGGTTAAAGTAGCCAATCAATTGGAATCTATCCAGCAGTTCTTGACTTAATAGGTTCGGTTTCGGTTTTTTTTTCTTGCAAAAATAGAAAAGAGAGAAAGAGGAAAAAAATTGTTCAAAAAGTGAATGGAATCTTTATCGTTGTACATTTTGCGCTTGAACAAAAAAGAGCGAGAGAAGAGATCGAAACAAGTGTTTCCTCTTTCCTTGTGGAAGGAAGGGAGAAAGAGGAGGAAATTGGGGGAGAGAAGACGCTTGAATTGTTGTGAAAGCGCTGAAATGGCAGCGAAAATCTTCGGTCACGCTGAAATTGAGATGGATTGAATGCCAAATAACTGACTACGCTTACACTCACACACAAGATTAGACTCGTTGTTTATAGGGCAATAGCCGAAAGTCGACGAACGATTTCAGCTGCAATGTATAATCATTTGAGCAACGGATTTGGCCGTCATTAATCATTGTTGCACAACGCGCATTTCACTTCATAAAATATGCAACCGGTTGTTTGCTATTCTCCCTACCCCATCATCATACCAGTTCATTGCACCGAATTCACAAGCCATTAGTTTCTATTTCTATTTCAATGGGTGTATTTCCTAATACCGCTTTAGCTTTTGTGTCAAACTCTTTCTTATCTTTCGTTTTCACTTGCATGTTTTTAATTTTTTAGAAAAATCACCAACAAAACGGTTGACATGGGTTATTTATGCATGACTTTATATTTCACTATTTACTAACACTATTTTTTTTTTCTTCACTTTTTAACAACGAAAAAATATACAAGAAACAATTTACTTGCTGTGTTTAATGTTTTTTGATGCATTTTCTCTTCTTTCTTTCCCTTTTTTATTTTCTTCTTTTTTTAAAAATCTTTTATAGGAATCCATTAAAGGAAATTGAAGCTGTTTTTAATTAGAATGTGAAACGCTATAGAAACCACACACACAATCTTAAAACTTTTACTAACCATTTTCCAAATGACACACACCTCTTATTGCACTGCAACTTGGCAAACAAACAAACACACAAAACTAAAACATCCCACAAGCATCTTTTTAGCATAATGACGCCTAATGTTTAAGATAGAACGAAAAACAATCGAAACAGAACTTTTCTGTTTCTCTATTGATTTTACCAACTTCTACTGTATTTATTTTATTCTTTGTTATTATGAATCTAGCTTTACTATTCATATTTATGCCTTTCCTGTTATATATACATTCTTTTTGTTTTCTTCTTTTTTTGTTTAAATGTAACACAAACACAATTGAGACAAATACCAAACAAAGATAAAAAACATACGAAATAGATCTATTTTTGTAATATAAAAAAAAAAACAAACAAAAAGAAACAAATGCCAGCTAATTTTATTATTTTTTATAATTTGGACAATTTTTTTTAAATTATGGTATGTTTTCTTGATTGTATATTTTCCGTTTATCACCTGGTCATGTACTTAATGTTAAGTGTATCTAACATTGCACTCTTTTAATGTGGCACTTGTAAGATTATTTTTCTAGTATTTTCTTTTTTTTTCTTTTAGATGATAAGCAAAATGTTGAATGGGAACAGAAACACACAAAAATTAATTGGTATATATCATTTTTGGCACAAGTTAAAATGAAAGCAAAAACAATCCACTAGAACTGCCAAACACTTGGTTTGAGCTTTATTTCGAGCTTTTCCCGCTCAATGACCATTCGTTACCGAAGCATAATCATTTTTAGGCTAATTCAACACACATACGTTTGCATGCTCATTGAACGCAATTCTCCAACACCAACACATGATTTTCAAATCCATTTTTAGTTTCTATAGAAAGGTTTATTCAGAAAAAGTTTCGAACAAAATTTTCAGTACAAATTACGAGCAGACATACACGTACATAAAATACACTTGAAAGAAAATCCAGGGTGTAACATATATAGGATGGAAAATGCAAGCGAAGTACGGAATACAGCCTAAAAATTATTATACTATAATAACTTTCCAAAATAACTTTATATATAACTTGTTAAACTGAAGCATTTTACTTTTTCGTTTCCTTCTACTGTTTTTTTTTTTTTTTTTGGTTAAGGATCTTAACTTAAAATTTTAGATACATATAAGTTAGAATAAGCATGAGGCAGCGCGCGAGATCATTAATTTCGAGCAAAAACACATCAGTGTTCAGAGTGAGGCTAAAAATCCGTCAAAAATCGAATTTCGTATAATGATTTCTCTATATCGGTTTAGAGTTCATAGTGAAACTTCTGTGCCTGAACATTTACAGTTTTGATTTCTGTACGTTTGTAGTAATTTTAGGGTAAAATACAAATTTCCACATGCAGCTAACATCGTGAAGATTCGAAACATTTTATGTATTTATTAGCATGTAAGTCAACGCAAAAAATTATGAAAAATGAACATTTTTGAAAATGAAATAAATTTTGTTGTATGAATTGTAATTATGTTACGAAAATGCAAATCGTACCATCTTTGAGTGGGTGTCTTATTTTCTCCTGGCACTATGTCAGTTTGTGCGTTCATATATGCAGTCGACAAATAAAACAAAGGCAATCCCGGTGAGAATAGAAAAATGAAACAAGGAAAAACGGAAAAATTCTGATGAAGTTCGCAGTTTTGTGTTCATTTTGTGGGTTCTGAATGGCACGATGTGAATGTTTGGTTGGTATTTTATGCACGGTGTATACACTGATCAGTGACAGATCAAATTAGGTAGCACCGCGTGTTCACAAATGACAGACGGGAATTATTTTAGCAAATCACCATGGTGAATATTGTCCAAATAAAGTATGGCATCGCTGTGAATTTCCTCAGCAAATGCTACATACACACATACATTCTTGTTGTTGTTGTCCCTCCATCCATGACTCCACTGTT